CATTTAATCTTTATAAATTTCCAATAATATATTTTATATCACAACCATCTTCTGAAGATTAAATAACATCAAATATTTTACACTTCCAAATTTAGAAGTGAGGGACACACACTTATACATAGGCACTGAAAAAGCTGATCTCATGGCTGCCTCCTGTGGCTCAAAAGAGTAAGGCACTGGCCCCATATGCCAGAGGTGGCAGGTTCAAAACCGGTCCCGGACAAAAACTGCAAAAAAAAAAAAAGCTGATCTCACAAAGGTGGAGAGTAGAATGAGTGTTGTCAGAGGCTGAGAAGTGGGGAAGGCAAAGAGAATTGGTTACTGGGTTAAATGCAAGGAATGGATTCTAATGTTCAATGCACATTAGGAGACCACAGTGAACAACAATGCATCATGTATTTCAGAATAACTAGAAGAAAATCCCTTGAAATGTTCCCAGCACAAGGACATGATAAATATCGGTGGTGATGGATGTGCTGAGCACACTGACGGGGTCGTTACACAGTCTATGCATGTATCATAATGTCACATGGACTCCACAAGTATGTACAAATATTATGTAAAAGTAAAAAGAAGTGGGAGACACATTCCTAATGCTATTAATATATTATTTGTTTCTGTCCTTAATAAATAAAAACTTTAAAAAAGTTGGGACAAAGAAAAATTTGATAGGAAAGTGAAAAAAAGATATGCACAGACTATGGGATGTATATAAAACTTATTGACTTGTAAACATACAAGAAATATTCCAACTCCATAATTACAGAGATGCAAATTAAAACACCAATGAAATGCCAGTTCTTACTTGTCAGACTAGCAAATACTGAAATGCAAGTTGGCACGTGCTGTGCCAAGGCTATGGGAAACAGCCCAACTCACAGCTGCCAGCGGGACCCAGGGCAGCGCCACTCTGCCATTAGGGAGTTTGACAAATGTGACAAAAGGCCTATGCACTTAAGTTTTTGTCCCAGCAATCCAATGTTTAGCAATCTACTCTGAAGACAACTTTCCCACAATATGAAAATAAATACACTCAAGAGTATTCACTGAAGCATTGTTTGTGATCACAAAACAACAGAACAGAGTAAGTGCCCACGTGGTGCAGGGGTGTATCCCTGGGAGGAGCGTAGCTGCTGAGAGCGGATGAAGAGAGATCCCCAGAACATACCATTCAGTGAGAAAAGCAAACTTGCAGAAGGGCATCTACAGCAGACTGCTCCAGGTGGGCTGGCGGTTGGTGTCTGCAAAGCCAAGATCTGACTAGACGGGGTGATTTAGACAACAGATGAGGGGATGGCCCCAGCACCCAGGGAATTTCCAGCAAGGGGTGTGTGCAGCCTGAGCTCTCCCTGGAAGGACCAGCCAGATGGCAGGTTCTCAGGCAGGGCACAGTGCCCCTCTGCAGCTCTGCCTGGACCATCCTCAAGCTCCCTGGTGTGCTCAGGCCCCAAAAGGGGTGGGACTGAGGAAGAGAAGCTGTTTTTGAAAAGAAAGTCACCAACTCTTATTTATTTACGTACATGAACAAGCAGACAAATAAATAAAAGCTAGGTTCATGCAGCTTTAACAGGTCAGAAGCAACTGACTTAGTTTATAGAGAAAAAAATAGAAACTATTCAGTGTAAGAAAAGTGAGATGAAGAGCTGGAGACAGGAAGAAATATTACACTGACCTGAACGTCCTGGGGTGCACAAATACCCAAGCCCATCCTTTGGTTGAGGAAAGAGCACAGCCATCCTCAGCCTGCTGTGCTCACTTGAGAACCCAAATGAGGGTTCTCAAGTGAGCAGGTGTAAAGGGCAGGTGTGATCCCTTTACACCTGCCTGGAAGCCTGTAGAAGCCTCACTGAGGCTAAGAGGTTCTGAAGAAACCTGTATTGAAAAGAATCTGAGGAATCCCAAGGCCACTGTTTCACAAATTCCATAAGAGACTACAGACAGAAGGTAGAAGACTCACTGAGGGTACCAAGTTGTGACCACTCACTGAGACCTTTCCCTGGGGTCCCAGGTAGGCGAGAACCTTACCAGGACCTGCCCCACTAGCTGTGTGATCTTGGACAATCCACTTGTCTTCTGCAAGGCTTAGTTTGCGAATCCGGCCAACAAAGATATGGGGATAGAGGTAGGCCTCTTTAGACTGCCCTGAGAATAAAATGTGACACAAAGCTGACTTAATCAGAGGAGGTGTTTCCTTCTGCTGTCACCACAGCTGTTATCATCATCTAATGATACTAGGTTAACTCCAAATCGTACAGTGGTGAGTAAGGCCTGAGCTGAGCCTGGGGAGTTTGTTGATATGTCTTGGGGGCCCTCTGTCCCCTGAGTCAGGCTCCTCCCTCCTCACCCTCACAGTTTTCCCACCCATCTTCTGCTTCAGCTCTTCAAGAGCCCTCTCTCCCTGCTCCATTACTACCCTCACAAACTGTTGGCTAATAGTGATGCAAGTGTGACCTCCACTTTCTTGTTCCTAGAAATTTGAGACTGTGGGAAGCAAGGGTCCTCATTTCTCACACTATCACCCTGTATGTGTGTGTGACTTCTACCACCTCTTGCTTTGGGCTAAATGAGTGAGGATCTGAGAAAAGTCTCAGCTCATTCTCCTTTAAAACATACTCCTGGGAATGAGCCACTATGAGTCACCAGCATGAGTTCACACTGGTCACCATCTTCCCTTTCCCTGGGATGCTGTACTACTTGAAGCTTTGCTTTTCTCAGCAAGTGGGTTGGTGGGAGAACTTTGGGGGACACCAGAACCCTCCAGTCACTCAATACTACCTAGTAGCTGCTTTCTCCTGCCGAAGAGCAAGGGTATATCAAGTCCACTGCCCATCTTGGGACCTCCGTTCTCTACCACCCTCCTCATTCCTGCTTTCAGATCCAAAGCCAGATTTGGGTGCTTAAGGACCCTGCAAAACATCTCCTTGGTCATTTGTCTATTTAAAAATGTATAAGGAAGATTTATTTCGGGATTATGTCCCATTTGTCTATATATCTGTTTTCATGCCAGTACTATGCTGTTTAGGTTACTATAGCTTTGTAATATATTTTGAAGTGAGATGCACCAATGCCTCCAGCTTTGTTCTTTTTGCTCAGGATTGCTTTGGCTATTTATGGTCCTTTCTGGTTCCATATACATTTTGTGATTTTTTTTTTTTTTATCTAAGTCTGTCACTGGTATTTAGAGATTGTGCTAAAGCTGTAGATTGCTTTGGGTAGTGTAAATACTTGGACAATATTAATTCTTCCCGTGAACATGGGATATCTTTTGATTTTTGTGTGTCCTCTTCAATCTCTTTCATCAGTGTTTTATGCTTTTCATCGTGAATATCTTTCACCTCTTTGCTTAAATTTATTCTTAGGCATCCTTAATAGTTATTATAAATGGGATTGCCTTCTTGATTTTCTTTCTCAGATTGCTCACAATAGATATACAGAAATGCTACTTATTTTTGTATGCTGACTCTGCATCCTGAAACTTTACTGAGTTCATAAATTAGTTCTAACGGTTTTCAATAGAGTCTTTAGGTTTTTCTAAATGCAACAGCCTATAATCTGCAAGCAAGGAAAGCTTGAGTTCTTCCTTCCAATTTGGATACTGTTTATTTCTTTCTCTTTTCTAATCATTCTGGCTAGGATTTCCAGTACTA